TATAAAATGCCCACCACAGGTCTAAACATTTACCATTTTTGTTGGTATAAAGTGCCAACACAGGTCTAAACTTTTACCATGTTTGTGGGTATAAAATGCCCACCACAGGTCTAAACTTTTGCCATGTTTGTGGGTATAAAGTGCCCACCACAGATCTAAACTTTTACCATGTTTGTTTGTATAAAGTGCCCACCACAGGTCTAAACTTTTGCCATGTTTGTTGGTATAAAGTGCCCACCACAGGTCTAAACTTTTACCATGTTTGTTGGTATAAAGTGCCCACCACAGGTCTAAACTTTTGCCATGTTTGTTGGTATAAAGTGCCCACCACAGGTCTAAACTTTTGCCATGTTTGTTGGTATAAAATGCCCACCACAGGTCTAAACAGTTACCATGTTTAGTGGTATAAAATGCCCACCACAGGTCTAAACAGTTACCATGTTTGTTGGTATAAAATGCCCACTACAGGTCTAAACAGTTACAATGTTTGTTGGTATTAAATGCCCACCACAGGTCTAAACTTTTACCATGTTTGATGGTATTAAGTGCCCACCACAGGTCTAAACTTTTGCCATGTTTGTTGGTATAAAATGCCCACCACAGGTCTAAACAGTTACTATGTTTGTTAGTATAAAATGCAAACCACAGGTCTAAACAGTTACCATGTTTGTTGGTATAAAATGCCCACTACAGGTCTAAACTTTTACCATGTTTGTTGGTATAAAATGCCCACTACAGGTCTAAACTTTTACCATGTTTTAGGTATAAAATGCCCACCACAGGTCTAAACATTTACCATTTTTGTTGGTATAAAGTTCCCACCACAGGTCTAAACTTTTACCATGTTTGTGGGTATAAAATGCCCACCACAGGTCTAAACTTTTGCCATGTTTGTTGGTATAAAGTGCCCACCACAGATCTAAACTTTTACCATGTTTGTTTGTATAAAGTGCCCACCACAGGTCTAAACTTTTGCCATGTTTGTTGGTATTTTCACGGGTGGTGTCCAGATTTGAAAACGGTTGTTTGTTGGTATAAAGTGCCCACCACAGGTCTAAACTTTTGCCATGTTTGTTGGTATAAAATGCCCACCACAGGTCTAAACAGTTACCATGTTTGTTGGTATAAAATGCCCACCACAGGTCTAAACAGTTACCATGTTTGTTGGTATAAAATGCCCACTACAGGTCTAAACAGTTACAATGTTTGTTGGTATAAAATGCCCACCACAGGTCTAAACTTTTACCATGTTTGTTGGTATAAAGTGGCCACCACAGGTCTAAACTTTTACCATGTTTGTTGGTATAAAGTGGCCACCACAGGTCTAAACTTTTACCATGTTTGTTGGTATAAAGTGGCCACCACAGGTCTAAACTTTTACCATGTTTGTTGGTATAAAGTGGCCACCACAGGTCTAAACTTTTGCCATATTTGTTGTTATAAAATGCCCACCACAGGTCTAAATTTTTACCATGTTTTTGTGAATGAAGTGTCCACCAAACGTATCACCCTTCTCCCACCCTTTGTTACCAAACCCTTACAAAAGTTGTCAAGCATGTCATTCAACCATTTTACCTAAAGTTAAAGTGTGTACAGAAATACTCCCCATTATATGGGTCATTGTTCTTTTGATTGTACTATTTGAAGTTGATTCTATTGAGATCCAGTTCTCATGGAGACCCAAATATTGGCACCTTTGATTTTTAAATTGTTTGATTAAACTTGCCAGCTGATCCGTGATGGTATCGATTTTCAGGGTGAAAAGGTAGAAAAAGGAAAGAGAACAATAAAGAGAAGGGAATTAACATATACGATATTAAAGTAATGGTTACAATAGAGGTTCTCAAATGATATGGAAATATAATCTATAAACTAATATAACAAAAACCACACATCGCACATATACCGCATAGACCACATACACTACATTCATTCATATACACCACATAGACTTCGTTCGTATACACCACATAGACTACATTCATATACACCACTTAGACGACATGTATATACACCACATAGACAGAACATAGCTGACCGATTCAGTTGCCAACATTAAAATATTTCCCCACCCCCACCCCCTCAGTGAACATAGTAGTGACCAAATGATTAATACTGAAACCCATTTGATCAAAATATTTCCCCCCCCCCACCCCCCCCCCCCCCCACCCAAAAAAAAAAAAAAAAAAGCCCACATCTCGTCTCCTCGTATTTGAAATTTAAAAAATAACTTAAAGGCAAGTGGGATTTATCCATTGCGAAACTCAATTATTCGACACAAAAACGGCCAGACTGATGACAGAGAAAATGTTTATTCAAATGTTCGTCACTAGGAATAAATCTCCAAAATTTTCGACTTTATTACATTCTCATTTAGTTACGTTTTTATGTTTGATTTGTTTTGCGTTTGCTGACGGAGACTTTGCGCCGCAACGTAGAGTTCGCTTGTGTCATTATTAAGTCTTTTACACATTTAAGTTTTTTGCTATTCCATTGACACAGATTGAAGGCTGTCTTTGTCATTTAACCCCTCACACTTTGACCAAAGGAAGACGAAAGAGAATGTATGATACTTTTAGACTGATCATCTCATTACCAACTGCCATCTTGTAGTGTTGCGTTTGTTTTAAATGTGGTGAATTATAGATATTTTTTGTTGACTTTGTACCGCGCTTCGAGCCTTTGGGGATGAAGCGTGTTTTTGAAATGAACTTTATTATTATTATTATTATCTTAGCAAATAGTTCGTCTTTTTTTATAACTTATTTATTTATGCGATATTTAGAACAATCCTTTATTTTTATTGAGTTTTCAGATTAAAGGTTGGAATTCTAATATTTTCTTAACAACTGAAGATGTAGACTAGTAATGGTATCTTTTGATGAAGACCAGTAATGGTATCTTTTGATGTAGACCAGTAATCGTATCTTTTGATGTAGATCAGTAATCGTATCTTTTGATGTAGACCAGTAAGTGTATCTTTTGATGTAGACCAGTAAGTGTATCTTTTGATGTAGACCAGTAATGGTATCTGATGATGTAGCAGTAACGTTATGTTGAATACTGGAATGTAACTAAAATGTGTCCGATCATTCGTCGTTTTTATTTCGATAAGCCGAATGAATCAATGTTTCCTTTTAGGCGGAGTTAAGTCTCGATCGGCTTCGTAACTCAAAAACATGCTATGAAATTCAGAAATACTGGGTTATCTATCTTGAAATATCCTGTCTTTCCATTTCAAGTTTCCAGATAACATGTTCCATCATTTTCTTCACATAGCTTTTACGCAATCCTTCATACTTATCTTTGAAATTTTTATTTGGTTATTATTTCATTGTCAAGTAATACACTACTGAGTTCAGTATAAGGTCAGTATAAGATTGAACGACCAACAGTGTTTTGTTGTTGACGGTCCACACCAGACCTTGTCTTATCTCGTCTAAATGTAGGGACAGGGAAACCTCGAAGGGTCAGTGGTATATGGAAAAGTATTCTTGGCCAGTCTTATACGATCCGTGTAATTAAATTTTAAAAATGTTACCACCGTTTCGATTTTCATGATATCGAAGAGTTGTTTCCCGTTAAACAGAAGGTTATGATCCCTTCTCTAATTCAAAGTCGGGAAACAATGTATCAACGTTTGACAATCTAAATATCATCACTACTGAAAACTGTCTCCTGGGCGTCTAAATATTATGGAAAAAAACAGATAACTAATTTGTTGTGTGAGGTGAAGGAAATCTGTTGACAACAAATTGAACAACAAGATCCAGATAACAATTGTTTCTGTTACTATCAAGGTTAAAAACGACACATTATCTCATGTAAATATAGGTAATAAACATATCGATTTTAAAAAATCGTTTAAATATTGATTATTAGTTTTAACATTTCTAACACATAGAGATCAAATATTTGATCGGGCATCGTGTTAAACAAATAGAAAAAACGACGAAAGAAAGAAAAAAAATCTAGATCGGCCCTGTATGCATTGGATATTATTAGTTTTAAATATACCGATATTTCAATACGGACAATGAAGTGTATTGCTACCACGCTAGGCCTATATCTATCAATTCATATAGAAAAATAGAGTTGTCTAAGCCTATTGATATTTATACAGCTTATATAAGGAAAAATGAAATGGGGCAACCGGCCCTTGAGGAATGGATATTATGAGTTCATTACCCTTCGGTATTTGAATATGGACAATCAAGTGTATGTGTGCTAAGTTTGTTCAAGATCCATCTATTGATGTAGGAGTATTAAGTCTAATAATATTTATGTAAAAAGAACAAATGAATCGGGGGCCCCAGCCCCAGAGGGATGGATATTACGAATTCAGTTCCCTTCGGTATTTGAATATGGATAATCAAGTGTATGTATACTAAGTTTGGTCAGATCCATCTATTTGTGTATGAGCAGGACTATTTGTAGTCAATTTTATTTATTATAGCTTACATAGGAAAAAATGACATTTTGGGCCCATGGTCCCAATCGGAATGCTATAAAAAGTTCATAACCCCCCCCCCCCCAGTATTTGTTTCTGGATAATGATGGATTTTTTTCCCAAGTTTGGTAAAGATCCATCACTCAATGTAAAACCTTTTGTGGAACAAACCAACAAAAAAACACAAAAATTAAAAAATTCATAACCCCCCCCCCCCCAGTATTTGATTCTGGATAATGATGGATATTTTTGCCAAGTTTGGTCAAGATCCATCAATCCATGTAAAACCCTTTGTGGAACAAACCCACAAACAAACCCACAAATTTTCACTTTTATATATAAATATATAATAATATGATATGATATGATCTATGTATATATACATATATATATATGATATATATAGAGAGAGAACGAGAGAGAGGGAGGCCAGGGAGAGATATATATATATTTTATATAGACAGATAGATATACTCATACACTGTATGAGTGTGTGTGAATTTTAGTATCTCTCCTAATTACTAATACTTACGATTTACTGATAGACACCATTTATTTTTTTTTTCTTGCAAAGGAAATTACCTTTTCCAAAAAATTCTTAAAAAGAATAATCTTTGGATTAGATTTGTACGATAAACTGAAATTAATACTAATAAACTTGTAGTCGTAAGTATGTTGGTATGTATTCACTTCTTCAGTTTTTTACTTGCTAGTGAAATTAAAATAAACAAAAAATTCCGTAATCAAATATTTTATTAAAAAATTAGACAAATAATAGACAGCATGATCACCATGATCTGACAATCTGGACTATACTCTACTATTTTCTCTATATTAATATTATTAATTATTAATAGACTATACTATATGATAGATGTATAGTCTGTAGTCTGACTAATAGTCTATAGTATATAATAGTGATATCACTAATCTAATACTAATATTAATTTTATTAAAATAGCCTAAATATTATTTCAGTCCTTAGTATTGTTATTGTAACTTAATGTAACCCACTCAACTAGATCTAATTAATATTAGTTTAGTAGACGGTTGTTAGTCTTTGACTTTGTATTTTTATTATCGGTGATCAATTCAGTGATCAGTAACAAAAACGTCATCATTACATCCTTCTTTGGGCCTTAGTCTTAGGCCTATTATTAATAAAATTAGCTATGTATTATTACTTTTATGTAAGGCCTATTGTTGCTAGTGTCTTGGCCTTGGTCATGACTTGTTAACAATGTTAAGGGCCTAGGCCCAGTGGCGTAGCTAGGGTTGGTGTCACCCGGTGCGGTAAACTCATGGTGTCACCCCCCCCCCCCCCCCCCCCCCTCGCCATTTTGTTTCACCCCCCCCCCCCCAAACTTCTATGATCGATTTTTTCTTGTTAAAATAAGTCCACAGTATAGCATTACTTTGAACTTTTAATAAAGCACGCATTTGGATTGGTTAAATTTGTGTAAAATATATGTGTGATCGGTTATTCTTTTATGAATCTCGATTTTTGCGAGCAATGTGTGCCCTGTAAATATGCAATTTTTCAATTGGGTGTCACCCCTAAAATGGTGTCACCCGGTGCGGTCCGCACCCCCCGCACCTGCCTCGCTACGCCACTGCCTAGGCCTAAGTGAATAAATTTATTTCAAATTATTTTATGCTAACTATACTGTACTATTCTATTAATATTATTAATTTAATAATACTATTATTAGAATTAGATCTAACTATTTTTTTATACTACGACTACGACTATGCAGCTAATAATACTAATTGTTTTTAACATCCCCGATTATTATTATTATGTTACATCTGCTTTAATGAATCTTATATACCATTGCCATGCATGAGGCATGTAACTTGGTCATCCTATTTGAAGTGATAGTGTATACATTATTGTGTTATTCCATTCATCAATGGCATTCTCATAAAAGTTTAATTTTTAAAAATTAAAATGGTCATTAAGTTCATTAAGTATAATATATAAACCCATTATCATTATGATTATCATTAAAAAAGCCTGTTGTTTCATAGCATTCCTGCTGACATATTAAATACATCCTTGATCGGATTAAATCCCTATTTAAGAAGCAAGGGCAAGGTATCAGCAGGGAGGGTCCTCACTGCAATCTTTCCATGTGGGAAATATTTATGCTGTTCAACTTCATACCTCTGTTGCACATATTGGTAACATATTAGTGTAACCAAGACATAGCTATCCAGTGGGTTGTGCCCCTATGTCAGAGTGACGTTAAGGCTGGAGCTGTGAAGAGCGGATGACTGATGAGAACCATTGTGACAAGTTTTTACTTGGAGGAAGATGGTGGTGAAAAGATAGGAGTCAAATTTAGGGGCCCACCTTGTTGCAGTCTTTGAAAGTGTGCTTGGGGATCATGAATAAAAAGTTAGTAAAGCAGCTTCACTTCACTTCTATTTGGAAAGTTTTTCCTTGTGGAGTTAGTAGAGTTATATGATGGCACTGTGCAGTCGTTGGGGAATAAGTATAAGATAATGTGGGTTCCATGACAAAATGACAAAGGACAAAAAAAAAAGTGAAAAAATGACAAGGTGACAAAATGACAAGGTGACAAAGCAGTTCGTATTAGTAGTGAAGAGGAGTACAACTTCTAGAGACTGATAGTGTCTGGCACTTGGCAGGGTGAAATTCCATGTCCCAGCTCATCTCCCCCTTAGCTAACCGATTGAGATCCTGTTGTAGCTGGTCCTGGTCAGATCTGTTGGCAATCGTCCTATACACAGCGGTGTCATCTGCGAACAGTCTTGCTTGAAATGTCAGTTTCTCGGGTAGGTCATTAATGTATGTTAGGAACAAACAGGGGCCTAGCACTGATCCCTGGGGGACCCCTGACTTCACACCAATAAAGGCGGAGTTTGTACCGTCCACTACTACTGCTTGGCATTGGTTGCTGAGGAAGCTAGAGATCCATGTTTTTGTGGTGCCTTGGATCCCATATCCGTGAAGTTTGTGTAGAAGTATATAATCAAGTCAACATTTTAAGATGTTTTACATGCTTTATAGTTGGAGAAACACGGTATTCAGTTATCAGACTTGTGCATAATTACATTAATTAATTACCATTAGAATTACATGACCTATTTTTGTAATTATATATCATTTCCATTACTTTATTCAAAAGTGTAAATAGTTACCAATACAAATTACTTCACTTTTGACCTGTAATAACAAATAATTTTTTTGATTTTTATATAGGGATTTTTGAACATCAACATCGTTTTACTAAGACATGTTTCCTTTCACAATACAGTACATGCACATTATTTGGAACCAGCTTTTGGATTTTATTGTTATACAAGAAAGTCAGAGTAGTTCATTAAATGATTTTACTGTATTTCTGAATACACAATAATATTTTGTAGCAGACCCTTACAAATTTCATTGATTGTCTGTGTGTATGAGCAAGCATGACATACTTTACAAGTGCCTTATAATTTTCAGCTTGCTCATTACTTGGAGACAAAATGTATGTCATATTGGGTCAAAGTACTATATGAGTATGCTGTATACCATGACACTATATTCATAAGGATGTGATCTGCTATACAATATTTTCACTTTTACCCTGAAAGTAAACATTTACAGAAGTAATTTAAAAAAGTACAATTACATTGAGAGTATTTAATTACAATTACTAATAACAGTAATTTTAAATAAAATGTGTAATTAATTACAGCTGTTATTAATTACCTCTAGTATGTCTGTTATTATGCATAAGATGGTGATCTTAAAAGGTGTATTACTATTATAATTATACTGTACAGTCTCCCCTAAAAGTATGTCTACCTAAATAAGGCAAATAGCTTTGTGAAATTTCAGTAAGTCCCTCTGCAGTTTAATATAATGTAATGGTTAAACAGAAAACTTTATTTAATTCAATGATTTTTTTTGGTGCAAAATAGTACAATATGTAACAATGACAAAAACAAAATTAAAAAATTACCCAAAAAAAAATCGGGTTTCTGAGGTAGCCGCTGATTGAGAAAAGGTAACTCCCTTGCTATCGATGATAATTTATATCAACGTTTTTTGTTTTTTTTATTTAATTTTCCGCTTATTAATGTTATCGTGCTCGGCCCACAAACTTATGAGTGTTTTGAGTTTTGGCCTCTGAACAATTGAGTCTTATACCCATGTTCTAGAGTGATCTAGGTTGCCACCAGCTTCGTTAGGGGCCTCTACAGAGATCTAGGTGCTGTCGCCACGTTGTTGCCCTGAGACCTTGTCATTTTGTCACCTTGTCGTTTTGTCTCCTTGTCATTTAGTCACTTGTCATTATGTCCTTTGTCGTTTTGTCACTTGTCATTATGTCCTTTGTCGTTTTGTCACTTGTCATTATGTCCTTTGTCATTTAGTCACTTGTCATTATGTCCTTTGTCGTTTTGTCACTTGTCGTTTTGTCTTTTGTCGTTTTTTCTGGTTACCGATGATCTGGTGTTCACAAAACATTTTACCCTAACCCTAACCCATTTATTATTCATATTATATACTGTCATTCTGAGCTAAAACAAGAAAATTAAGTTCCAGTAATCTTTTGGTCTATATGGAGTGCTATTCTCATTTAGTTCAAAATCCTGATAATAGAAAGTAAACAAAAGCCCTTTTATTTATTTTGTTATGTTTATTAAAATTCACTTTATAAATAATATATTACCAAGTAACAAATAATTATTAGAATAAGCTTGGCTTTTTTTTCATCCTACCGACAATGTTTTGTAAATGGAAATTAGCGAAACTAAGTATGGATAAAACCTGAAAAAAGAACACCACTAAACAATGAACATGTCAGCAAGAAGCCTTCATCAGTGAGTAGTAAAAACAGAATTAAATAAAAATAACACTTACTGAAATGTAATATCCGAGAGGACAGCAGGAGGAACGAGCAATTCCTTTGGCTAAATAGAAACTATAAAATTTAAATTAAAAAGAAGTTAACATGTAATAATAAAGTTTATAGAATAATCCTGAAATGTATTTTTTAGTTGATTACATATGCTATATTAAATACAATCATTTTTATTTAAAGGTCAGTTTTAGTGTCTGTTAGTAAATAGAAGGAAAAATTCCTAGAGCCTTTAGAATGGAACAACTGCTTTTGTTTTGTGGCCAATATGTGGGCCCTGCTTTAAGCTTACAATAGACACTGTATACTTTGTTTAGACATCACGCTGTCAATTTTATTTTAAGAGATCAGATCAACAACTTGTATCTCATAAAAGTTTATTCTATCAAATATTGATGAAAGAATCTTACTGGTTTTAAGAACTGAATGATACATATGGTAATACAGAGTTGTGTAAATTGACACGTAAAAAGACTTGAACTTTTTCTATTTTTTCTTTTAAAAACTTACAATCTTGTTTTATTTATTTCAGAAGTAGTCAATTTACATTTAATAGTAAATATGGCATCACATGAAAAAGGTCAAGGAGATGCTGAACCAGATGAATCGGTTCCACCACAAGAAGATTACATTCATAATCCAGAAGAATTTATAGATATTCATGGGCGCCAAAGGACTAAAAAATTACATTTAACGGATAATGAAAATGCAGAATTAGAAAAAAGTTCCTCTCTTTCTGCATCTATGTTACATTCTATACAAGACTTAAAAGTTCCAGTACAAGTAAGTGAGGAAAGTGACTTAAAAGAAAATCCGGAAGAAACATCAGGGGCAAAAGTGATAGAGGAAAGCATCTCGAGTTCAGATCCTGCAGAAAAAGTCACAGAAAAGGTCCGTGCAGATGAGAGTGATTCAGAATATCAATCAGCAGATGATGGTGAAGAAGAAGATGAAAGTGATGATGAGTTCATCCCAGTTGGAGATGAAGATGATTGTCATTACAGGGAAGAATTTAGTGAAAAGGGAGCTTTCAGTACTTATGATGAAACAAATGATAATGAAAGTTGTGAGGATTCAGATAAAGAAGAAAAGGAATTAGATTTAGTTGATGATTTGGATGTTCGTAAAAAAATAGAAGAACAGCTTACTGAAGATGAGAAACTGGTAAGCAGATAAATATTTTTATAAGAAAATTGGAATCATCTGACCTGATGATATGATTAATTTAATATTATACAAGACAACATTTGTCTAAATAAACTTAACAAACTTATTGGTTACTGTAAAACAAAGAAAAATTGTATTTCTTTTTTACCACATTTGGCGTTCTTAAAAGGATGCTATGGCCTTGACCTTTACTGAACTTCACTGATGGCCATAGGATTTTTTCCAAAATGATAACAAGACCATCTTTTAATGGAGACACCTTGCCGTTTTCAGCATTTTACCACTTTCTTTAATTAGAAAGGCTAGAAAATTAGGGTGATGGGATCGGGTCTATAGGAGAGCTAAGGGACATTAGGACAAGGTGAGAAGGAAATGGTAAAGTGTCCACAAGTAAAGTAGGAGACAAGGAGGGTGTGGGGAGAGAGTGAACTTGTGCTTTGGATTGGTGAGAGGGCAGGGTTTGAGGAAGAAGAGGTTAGTTCTGATGGAGAATGTATGTAGAAGTGAGTGATAGGGAGAGATAAAGCAGGTTGAGGGAATAGTATTATGGGTAGAGTGGAGAGGGAGAAAGTAGGTCAGATGGTCTCTCTCACTAGAGAAAGCTTTACTATTATATTTTATTGACATTTTTTTAACTCGGGTATCAGAAATGGGGAATTGTGAAGAATTTTTTTTTTAAATAGATGTATAAAGATTTTGTAAAATGAGTAAAACAAAGTAGGGTTAAACCTGAAAAAGGAACGCAACAAAACAACGAACGTGTCGGCAGAAAGCCTTCATCAGCGAACAAAACAACAGAAAAAACTAAATAAAAATAAAAAATAGCACTTAGCTTAGAATTAGATTCCGTGGGCAGCAAACATTTCTTTTGTTTTACTCATTTTATATTGTGCTTACCTGATTGCAGTCTCTCCCATTATTACCCTATATAGATTTTGTAAGTAAAGAGACGATGAAATGTAATCAGTAGTTCATGAACTTCTTTCAAACATTTTGAAATGGAGAATGATACTAAAATTTGAAGTAGTAAGCATAAAGCTTTTGGTTGTTTTTTTTTTAAATTTTGTAAAGAAATTCTTCTTCCTCTATATCTTAAGGGCCCACAATCAATTTATTATCATTTTGGCTCCTATGCATGTAGAGGGGATTTGCAATGTTTCTGTACCTGGTGCTGATGAGGATATTTCAATGAATTTATTAATTGCAAGCCATTCCACAATTAACTGTACTAAGAATTACCAGGCTTGAATTTTGGCTGCTTAAATTTTAAGGAAAATACAACAATGAAAATCAGAAAGTGAAACTAAACACAAAATTAAATTATTACCGGTATCATATAAAACAAATCTGGGACATTTAAAATCTTTTAGATGTTTCAATTTTTCAAATTGAAAATTGACTGGAGTTCAGAAGAAATCCCCCACCAACACACTCTCGAGGAAAAAAAAACTGAACTCTGGCTGGCTCCACTCTAGTTCTGGTTAAAAGTACTCCATTTTTAGATCACTATAATAAGTAGACATTTTTTAGTTTTAAGATTGTTACATTTTATTTTAGAGTTAAATGTAATTGGATACCTGTGATCAATATTCTTAACACTATTTCTATTATTATAAAATATGACTCTCTTTATTAAGTATTTTGTATAGAGGAATACTTACAACTATTGTTTTATTTTGATCTAAATCTTTTTGTAAAACTTTTTAAATTAGTTATGTTTCTCAACACATTTTAATCACCTTTTTAAGGAGAGGAAAACCAAGAGCCAACTGATAAAAGATGAAGGGAATATTAAATTCCGCCAAGGTGACTTTGATGATGCAGTTGCTGCATACACAGAAGCATTGGAAATTTGTCCATTGATTTTTCACAAAGAAAGATCTGTTATGTTTGCCAACAGAGCTGCTTGTAAAATGAAGCAGGTATATTTATAATAAAAATTAATAATTTACAGAGTTATGTTTTTTAAATTAAATGTAAATCCTTTTTTGTAGGTAAATGACAGAATCTATATTCTGTGTTAATAATATAATATATATATAATTCCCTACAAGAGGCCTATGATAAATGCTGAATATGTATTGATTACTTACTCCCCCATATTGTGTTAATTGCAGATTTTTATTGACCTTGATGACCCTAAACGGGATGAAACTATCATCATTCGAATAGATTATAGCTTTTGACAATGTAAACTTTGATAGTTATTTAATCTAATGCAGGTGTCAGCAACATTTTTTTATGAGGGGCCGGTAAGATTATCTCATCAGGCTCAGGGGTCAGATACATGGCTCCAAAATCAAGACATCCCATATTCATGATCATATTATTAATATCTCACACATAAAACATGCTTGACACACTTTAATTTCCTTGTCTCAATGTAAACGAAGCAAGAAATTAGTTATTTTCTGACATAAAATCAGACAGCATTAATTTAACTGAGATGCCAATGAAATATTTGTAGAGGAAAAATAGGCATTGCCCCATTGTCTTTTTTTCACATCAGTGAGGAGCATAACACTAATTCTCCTCTGCACAGTGACATTGCTTGCAAGTGCTCATCAGACAAAGTTTCTCTGAAATTTGCAAGTGCTCATAAGACAAGGTTAATTAGACACGAATAATATGTGTCAATATAACAATATAAGGAAGCTTTAATAATAATTTTACATAATCGCAAGTATACGTTTTGGCACATGCCTTCATCAGTACCAAAAAAAAAAAAAAAAAAAAGGATAAATTAAATTTATTTTTTTTTTTTTTTTTTTGTATAAATTAAATTTAAATAATATATAAATACATATATCCTAACTAAACAAGGGGAGAAAAAATAGGAGTGGGTGAAAAAAACAGACAGAAGCAAAGTAAAGAAGAATGGAAAGGAAGTGACTTAGAGTAAAATGTAAAAAAAACAAACAGGAAAAAGACATGGCAGTTATGTAAAATTGTGGATTTGGTTTATCCCGTATGGAGTCAACGTACCAAATCTTGTTATCAATTTATTCTCCTTAAAAATCCTATCCGATGTGTTACTAGTATACAGTATACCAGTAACTGTGATGTCTAAAATTCCATCATGGTTAGTTCTATTGAAATGTTTGGAGACCGGACAGAGAGCCTGTTTATTTATGTTGTAGAAGTGTTATGTTTGCCAACTTCTCATCAGACAAGGCTGCTCTGTAACTAGATTTCCCCTAGTTTGAAAATGTCTTCTCACACAACTAGACACTGTAATGGCAAAGAATGAAATAAGCAGAGACCTAAAATGAAGACATATATATCACCTGGAAGCCAGTTGTAAAGGTTTATTAGCTTCCGTCTTTGAATCCCAATTTTTACAGAGTATAAATTGCATAATAGTTCTTCCTAGGTTTTCAATTTTATTCTAGATAATGCCTACTAAGTTTGGCCTAGATCCATTAATCACATAGAAATTTGTACTGTTATTTATATGGTTTATATAAGAAAATAATACACTTGTCCCAAAAGGAGTAATTTCAGATGACGTTTCAGCACCATAATATACATCAATTCCCGTGTTATATTTAAGCTGTCAGTTACTGAAGTGTCGATGTTCTGTCAGTCAATGAAGTGTCATGTTATCACTTATTCTTCCATGCCTTCATGAGTTCTGGTTTCCGGATAAACAAACGTGCAGGCCGGATGTGGCCCAAGAGCTGTAGTTTGAAGACCCCTGATATAATGTATAGTTAACACTCTTATCATTTTAACTTACATAAGATTTTGAAATATTTTATCCCTACTGGGGATATTTAACCAGTCACAATCCCACTGAGTATATTTACCAGACAGTCACAATGTTAGCAGTAAAAACGTTTCTACTCATGAGCATTATAACTGCAAAAGAATATACAAATGTTAGTATTGCAAAGAAAATTATAACATTATTAATGGATTTTTTATCTTATCTAATTTATGTTGCAACAGGAATTGTACGATGATGCAATAAACGACAGCACCAGGGCTCTGGAAATTCATCCACACTATCTTAAAGCACTCTTGCGTAGAGCAGAACTCTATGAGAAAACTTCAAAACTTGACGAGGCATTGAAAGACTATCAAGACGTTCTACAATTGGACCCTTCCCATCAAATGGCCAGGGCTTCTTGTATGGTAGGTTCTATAATTTAATTTCAATGTTTATTCATAAATTTAAATTTTAGTCTCAAAATATATTAATATTATTAATATCAAGGCTGTCATCCAAGCCTCCTGGTTATAATACCTAGCATTGTTCTTGTCATCTCTGTCAAATACTTCAAAGATCATCACAAATCCTGCTATAATACAAAGCATTTCTTGTCTTAGATTACTTATAATATATAATATAACATAACACTATTGTGTCAAATTTAATTTGTCTTTATTTGGGACAGTTTGTGACCCTGGGGTGGGGGAGGGGGGGTTTTAACCCTCGAACTGTGGTCGGCTGATGAAATCGGCCGATATTCTCGTTCTGTGCTGTGGCAGCCGAAAAAATCGGCCGATAAAAAACACGGTCCGATAGCAACTTCCAATCCAATATTTTACCGAAATCATAGCCATTTCCTTTTATTAATAATTAAATCAACTTCTGGGTCAAGCTGTTTCTTGATAACTTAACAATAAGTACTTTTTCATCGGAATTTTACATCGCCGTTTTTTTTTAAAGCAAAAATGGCAGAAGCTATGGCGGGGCCTTCAGTTCAAGAACTAGTATAAATATTTTTGGAAGCTTTTTAGGAGAGGATTTAAGTGATACTGATGATGATTTTAACATTCCCCATGACGATATCAGTTCAGATTCTTCTTTTCATGAATCTGATACTAGTCTTAGTGATACTGAAGTAGGCCTACTGAGGCTACTATTTGACTTCAAGCCAGGCCCGGAGGTTGGGCAAGGACTGACTGAATTTTAGTTACAAAAGCTACAGATTATAGATCAGAACTAATAAATTTTATAGTTTAACAACCCAAATCAGTTCCACAGTTCCTTTTTAAATGTTTACTAGTCAATAATAATTATTTCACCTGAGATTTTGTACTTGGTTTTAGCAGTAATCCCAGTTTCTAATATAAATGATGTAAAATTACTAAAATTGCTCTCAGATGTTTAATTACAATCAAAACTTTAGCAAACTATACATTTTCTGATAGATAAATGAATTGGCAACAACATTTAGATTTATGTTTTTAGTGCATCTATAACATTAATGATGTTATAAGCACTTGAAAGCAAGACATTTTGTTTTTTATTTTCATGAGAACTCCAAGGTCAAGGACACTGAGCAAAAAAATTTTTTACGAGAAGGGCAATATAGCCAACTTTATCCCCATCTATTTACCTTTCTAAAAATATATAATTATTGGGGTCTTGCATCAATATTTCTATGTCATTTAATGCAATTTCAAAAGGCACTCAAAAAGCTCTGAAAAGCTCCACCCCACAGAATGATGCATGCCACAATTCGAGGGTTAAGATCATATGTGAATAATTGTGATGTCACACTTTTTTTTATCATAAATATATGTTAAAAAAATCTTTTAAACTTGCTGACATTACTAATACCAATGGTAATTGTCACATGAAAGTGCATTTACTATGTATATGTGTATACTATATATGGTTTTAACAGTACCGGGTACTTGTAATTTCAGAAACTTGCTGAAAAAATAAAAGAAAGGAATGAAAAAATGAAGGAAGAGATGATAGGTAAGGGAAAAACAATAATCTTGACACGTTTCATTATATAGAGAATAGTTTTTATGTGCTTAACAGTGTATTCAATGAACCATTTACATTCTGCTCAATATGAGAAATAAAAATTGTTTGAAATGTATGGTGATATTAGCTGCCCATGCTTGGTTGTCAAACTTCTCAAGGATGTTGTCGCTGTAGCAAAATTCCTTGGTAACAAGAAAATTTGTGTGAGCAAATCTTGTCAACCCTAGGCTTTATTTATTCTGTCAAATATGCCAGGGCGCTTAAAAACTGCATAAGAATATTATATACTAGTACTAGGAGATATTAGAAAGAAACAATACTTGTTTGGTTAATTATTATGTAACGAAATCAATCATTTGAACCAGTGGTTTCTTCTAATAAAAAATATTCTTTTTTCGTTTTATTCCACTAATTTGTGCACATTTGAATTTTTGTACCCTACACAAGTTCTTTTTAAAAGAAAGTATTGTTAATTTTTTATATTTTTACTTTTGCAATTATTTTTTTTGCAGGAAAGCTAAAGGATCTTGGAAACCTGGTGTTGCGACCCTTTGGTTTGTCAGTAAATAATTTTAACCTCCAACAAGACCCAACAACAGGCTCTTATTCAGTTCAGTTCCAACAGAAGCCAAATAATGGATCTTGACAGTTGCTCCTTAATCAAGTAGTACCAATCTCAATGATTTCATTTGACTTGACAATGTTCCCATGACACGGAGAAGGTTATTAGCACTTTTCTTATGGGATCAATATTCTGTGATGAGGACACTAATTATAGTTACAGGGACAAAAAATTAGAGGGTTTTTTTAATTCTCTACAGAACTTTTGATGGAATTAAGCAGTAAAGGTTGATGACAAAAATGCGTATGTGAAGAATTAAGCTAATTTCTTTAGTAGTAAATAGTTCATTTCCAAATGAGAATCAGAGAAGCATGCATAATTGTTTGACAGTGGTAATTCTTCTAGACAGGTATCCTGATAAAAAGACATTTGTAAACTATCCATTTCTTATCAAATTTAGCACCTAAGAAGGCTTAGATTATGTCCATTGGTCAAAATTCTCATAAGATTTTTCTTTAAAAAATGTATAATCCAAAAGATAAAAAAAAGTTTAGGAAAATGGTTGAAGAAAGAAAATAGATTTCGTGAATAATTTCTGGCAAGACAAAATTTTATAATATGGGCATACTTATAAATAAAAAAATAAAAAAAACAAGTAACATTAATAAATGGGTATTACTACTACCTACTAAGTACTAAGACACATATTTTCCTTTATAACATTATTATTGTTTTGGTTTAACTGCCATTTGCATAAATTCAGACTTGGTTTTGAAGTGACTTGTGCAATCATGCTTATGTTATTTTATTATGACTTTTACCATGTTCCAATCCATTGAACCATCATGAAATTATTAAGTGCTTTAGTCACATTCCCTGGCTATTAGCTTTTGTTCTTTAATAAAATTGTTTCAGTAATAATTTATAAGTATATCATTTTCATTTGTTTGTTTTTTTAAAATAAAATATATTTTAACAAGTTTTCATTTCTTTGTTTAGTGTTGTATCAAGATCCATAAATAGTTTATGAACTTAGACACACATATTACCGGTAATAAATTAAACCAATAATCATCAATAATCTCAATGTGTGTATGAAAAAGTGCCCTCTTAAAACCTAAATTAGAAGCATAAAAAGATTGAAAAAATTTAGAACAAATAGAAAGATGTATTTAATTTTGTTTAACCATTGAAAATATTACTTAGTGGTCAGAACAACTGGGTGATTCGGAAGGAGTTGCATGACATATTATAAAGTAAAGTAATTTATAATTATAATGTTCATTAAATGTTAACATTATTGTTACATCTTATCATGTATTTCAGTAGTGATAGATACCTATATTTATTTTGTTAAATGATAATAATATAAGCCTAAAATTGATTGTGTTATAATTTATTTATACTATACACCTCTAAAATAAAACAAAGCATATTTCATTCTTCAGACAAAAAGTATCTATCATAATGATGTTAATTTCTGCATTAGGGGTCTTTTTCTTTACTACTTCAAGATCACAGATTACCAACATTTATTAGCCATGATCACATTTATAGAAATAGAAGTAAAATGACATGCAAAACCAATATATATTTAAAGAAAACTTTTTAAAAGTAAGGGTTAACAAAAAGCATAGAAAATAAATGTGCAGTATTATAATAATATAGTTCACTTGTAGTTTGTTTGTGCTTTAGCTTTTGTAACATTGGATTTTTTACATGACTGGGTCATCAGCCCTGTGCATAATCGTCTGGTTGAGAGATGGATGTGGTGGAGCAGGCCTAGTTGGGCTGTAGATGATGATGTCTAAATGGACAGATGTGGTGGAGCAGGCCAGGGCCCTACATGGGCTGTAGCGCCAATGATAATGATCAATTGTAGTTCAAATATCAATTATTTGTAAACTTACTTAATGAGAAAATTATTAAATTTTTAACTCATTTACAAGCTTTAAACTTTGCAGTTAAGTTAACATATATCAGTTGCTTTTTTTTTTTTACTTCGATAAAATACTTTCTGACAGAGATGAGTTGAAGTAATACGAGTATTAAAATATTATTAAACATTACTCAAACTTTAAGACACAGATACACAATGCTAAAAAATAACAATGGAAAACTGGATTATTTGTAAGTTTGCGTTTTATCAGGAAACATAAAAGAACAATTCCCAATCATTGCCCATGCATTCTGATAAGTTAAATTCCTTCCTACATGGTTAAACAACAATTCATGAAAATCTTTCTTTAAAGTCCCATTTTCATCCAATTTAGTTGTTGTTTTTTTTACACCAAACAATAACAATTTTTAATTAAAAAATTTCTTAGATGATAAATTTGATAGCAATTTAGATATATTAGAGATAATTTATCGGTTAATAAATTATGTCATTCGTAGTAATACACAGATTAAATAAACAAAGTGAAATAAATCATCTGACTTGACAAAAGTTATTGAATTTATAATCTTATGTTTCAACCATTGGACGTTAAGAGGGTTCATTTTTTTCAGAATGGTGGAAATCTTGTGCAAAGGGGGAGGACTGGGATACTCATTTGGGATTCTGCCCTGGATGAAGTTGTTTTTTTTTTGCACAGCCCTGCATAATCCAGTTGGTATCAGTGACATTCACAAACCTGCATAATCCAGTTGGTATCAGTGACATTCACAAACCTGCGTAATCCAGTTGGTATCAGTGACATTCACAAACCGGTAGTTTTGTTTTTGGAGCTGTTAAATTTCAGGTCTGAGTTTATCATTTTCTGGCTATTTGCTTATCCCAGGATTTGTAAATTGATAACTCTCAGTACAGAATGTTATTTCAAGCATTGCATGTATGGGTAGGCCCAAAAGTAAATCTTCAAATTAAGAAATTAACATTAATTTGTATAAAGTAAAATGTTCACAGTGGAAATATCAAGGTCTCTTAGTGGTGGGATTGCATCTGAATGTCTGAGATGAATGTCTTCACAGACAGCATGAACATCTGAATGTCTTAATTGAATGTCTTCAAAGATAGCATGAACATCTGAAAATTAATATTCCAAGAATTAATAAATTCAAAGCATAATGTAAGTTAATATTAAATATATTTTATGAATTTAAACTTTAATAGTGAGAAAACCGTGAATTTTCTCATAATAATCTTTGATATTTATTTGCAAATGAAAATTAAGTTACCAGTTATTGAGCTGACATCAGTTAAAGCGTGGGTTTTAATCAGTATTAATCCTGTGTATGCAATGTAACTCAGGATTACAGCAGCACAAAAATAGACTGGTAGAGCGACAGCCCAGTACCTAAAAATACAAACGAAAATAAATATGCCAGTATTGTGATTAAAAAAATGTAATATTTTATAATGTTTTTAGTGGAACCGGGAATTGATGAAATTGATTTTATTGTGATATTTTATTTGCATGTATTACAAAAACTAGAATGATAGAAGAAGAAGAATTATATTAATAGTATTACTTTATAAATATACAGAATTTAACATGATATTTGGGCTCCATAAAATCAGGTGACTTTAAATTAATACCAGTAACAGAGCCACGTTAAATCAGTGTTTTGTAATAACTATATGCAACTTAACTGCGTCATTACCAATACAACCAAGAATCATAACAACAAACACATACAATGGGGTCTAATAGAATCCTTGATTTCAGGCCCATAATGTTGGTATTTTTACAGCTAATAATGTGAAATTGAATTGGCGACACTGCAGAAGCCGTGTTATAACCACCTTATAATAAATCCATGTATGTGTTATAGTTGGCATGGTATACCTGGGTTCCACTATAATAATAAAGATTTTGAAAAATTTTAGTGGATGCCATTCATTATGTATCAGCTAGTAAATACTAATGTCTAGTTATGGTACCCGGTACTACATAATTGGAAATGAGCGAAACAAAGTAAGGGAGAACCTGAAAAAAAGAATGCAACAAAACAACGAATATGTCGGCAAGAAGCCTTCATTGGCGAACAAACATCAGTAAAAACAGAATTGAATAAAAATAACACTCAGCTGAAACGTAGTATCCGAAAGAACAGCAAGAGGAAAGTGACAAAATATAAGTAGGTGAGAGATTAAACACAGGCAAAAAGGGAAAGAAGAGAGGAAATGTAAATCCACTGCGATTGGTTTTAACTGTAATGAGGAGGGGATGGAGAAAAGGTTTAACAGATGAAAGAGAAAATGATATTCATGCCATGTGGTGTCAAGGTTCAATAGATTGTTTTCCAAATTCAACCAGTATGGTGTGTTAGTACAGGGCATGATCGCACAAATAGTAAAATCCGCAGACCCCTTGATATCACTTCTATTGAAGTGTTTAGAGACAGGACACTGCCTATCTTGTGTAATAATACGGAGGTGTTCAGCACATCTGTCCGAGTCTGCATCCTGTCTCACCTATATAGGACATATGGCAGCAGGTGTCAACAATTGCGTTGATAACATTGTGGCTAGTGCAAAGGAAACGGTCCCTTATCTGAAAACTGCCCATAGGGAAGGGAATGTGATAAGTCTGGATAACTTAAGGGCAAGTGTTGCAACTGCTGCATCCATATGGCTTACAACACAAATCCTCACTGGAGTTACAGAACACAAAACGGATTAAATAAATGTTTAAGATTGTGATTCAAAAATAACTATGCTTACTTCTGAGGCCAGTATGTCAAGCCTATAGAATGTAACCAAGCATCAGGAACATATGCCCAGACAATATACAATCCTGAAAAAGGTAACAATACTTGAATAGCTCATACAATTAATGTTAAATGAAAGTACACGTTTGTTACTTTTAACCTTTAGTGGTATGATATTGATAGATTTTTGCTACCCTGTCTTTCTATTTAGATGTAATTGTATGGTTTGATTTATAATACAGGTAACAGTGCTGAATGAGGCCATGGACACATTTTTGGGCTGCACATTACAAGGAAAAGAAAAAAATTAAGAATTATTTGTTTAATTAAAAAGACTTAGAGCAGGTATAGTTTCTCCTTTTTGGAAACCTGTAGCACAGAAACCAAGGGGGAAGATGTTTACCCTAGTTGTAGTCCCAGATTAATTAATCCCACTCACTTGTGCCGGGCCTACCTTGAAAAATTGAAATTTTCGTTACCGGGTATTTTAACAAGTTTTTATTAACCGGTACCGGTATTAAAATGTATTATATTAATTAATATATGAACATGAACTATTGTATAACTTTTCATGAACTTTTGATGATCTCGTGATTAAATATTTAGTCTGTGTCTAAAGTTCTGGTCTGTCTATAGTTCTACAGATTGGCTCCTTCAGGAGATGGATGAATGTCAGGACCAGGGCCATCAACAGAAACTCTAACAATAATGTGACTACTTCTGAAACTACCAAATATCAACCCAAAAAATTTACGCAAGTGTAGGTGTAAGTTCGCTAACTCTAGCAAACAATGGTTTTTGCAGACTTGCAGACCATGGGTAAAATGTGAGTACACACATATACTGGCAACTTATGCATCTAACTTATCAAAAGTCTCGTTATAAGCGTATTCTTCAAAAGTTTGAACATGAAAGAAGTTATAATAAGAAGGGTTGTATCAATGGTTAAATTTCTTACTTCTGTTGTATTGGCATTTAGCTTTACAAATCTTAATAATGGTATAATTTTAGGCTGTCTAAGACATATGGCAGAATATGATTTGATGATCTCTGTTCCTATCCATTATAACTTTTCAACCATATACAAAAAAGCATAATTTTGTGAAATTATGAAAAGAATAGCACTGGAAATTATAACTTTTTGAAATTATGAAAATAATAGCATCAGAAATTTTAACTTGGTTAAATTATGAAAAAAATAGCTTAGGAAATTCATGACGTTAAAAATATTTTATTCATTGTCAGTACAAAAACCAGATATCTCTAATAAGGCTACCATAATTTTAAATGTTGAATAAGGAACCTATGGTTGAAACCAAAACCAGTGACTCATTAAAGAGGGGCTCAGGTTGTGGCAGCACTTTAGTTCATGTTACCCAACACTTTAGACAAAAAGAATAAAATATATCTCAAAAAGTTGCCAACCCATCAACTGTCAACAGTGGGAAACCTGAATGCTTTTTATTTCTTCTTGTTTGCTTTACACTTAAAACAGATACTATGTTATCAAAATCAGAATAAATTCAACATTGATGAGAATATTGTACAATAGACTAACTTATAAAATATGAATACCAGTATGATGCCTTTTTATTAAAGTCATAGAAACATAGTCTTACTGATATCTAATATATTTTTTTAGCTTCAATATTTAAACAATAACTTAAATTTTAATTTGTATCTGTCAAAAATTGTTTTGATGTGTCAGTAAATTTTATTTTATTGAGTTGGCATCCCTATTTCTTAAACATTAAGTCGGCATCACAATTTCTTAGATATTAAATTCAAGTGAGACATAAGAAAAGATGAATATTTATCTCCCCAAATACCCTTCACAAAGGATGTGACTTTCCAAATCTTGTATGTTCCTCAGTCATATACCTTCAATTATTGCTTTGAATAAATGCTGCCTGGGGCAAACTCATAAAATTGCAACACTACACACTCTGCTGTTTTATATTAGTACGAGAGTAATAACTTTTTTAAAAAGTACTAGCCGGTTATGCCTCCTTTGACTCCACTGGTGATGCCTACTCCCACCATAGGTCCTGGTTTCAATCCTTTAAATTATGGTAAGCCTATAGTACAGTACTTTTAAGAGACCAGATGTAATCATCACAGTCTTCTCTTTATCTTTAATATGGTGTATACATTAAATCATTTATTATAATTTACCTGGTTTTAGTTAGATTAATTTACAATTTTTTTTAACAGTAAATTATTATTTTATTTTAATTTTTAAAAAACTGTATATATTTTAATCTCTTAAGCCTATGTAAACTGTGCTATCCGTGGGTCATGATTTAATAAAATAACCAGTCCACACAAAAAAAAGTTCTGGAAATGACTTACTAGGCCTAATTAAGACATTTAAGATCAAGTGACTGACTAAAAATAAAATTACCACTTCCAATAAATGAAGCAAGGTAAAGCACAAATCCATAAATAGCTCTTTGCGGTGTTGGTGAGGGAGAGTGCTCTTGATTCATTATTATCTTTTTTAAATCAAATTTGTTTATAACTACATTTACAGCTTATCATCTCCAGTCTCATGTTCTTAGTTCATAAGCCATTGTGTTCAGGGTTGCCAACAGCAAACCATTCATTGATATCTCATCTGTAAATTTCAGCCGACCATTCATTGATATCTGGTCTGTAAATTTATGTAAAGTCCTTCATTGCCTTCATGGGTTTAAAATTTGACGTGAAATGACTTGTCCCTATAAGTAAAAGTCAAAAATAATTTTAGACTTTAGAACCATAGGTCAGTAATAAAAAAAACTAACCATTGATTAATTGAACCCTATTGAAAATGTAAACTAGAATTCTCAAATTTGTGTTTTTTGTTTGCTAACTTTAAATTAAACTGTATAATATAATAATATTATTAATATAAGTATAAGTCAAAAATTATTAGACTAAGTCTAAGACTAAGGGGCCATCCATAAATGACGTCACACAAATTTTGCAGATTTTTTACCCCCACCCCCCCCCTCCCCCCCCTTATAAAAAGTCCCTGTGTCCATTATTGTCCTTTACAAACCCTTAAGAAATTCACCTCCCATGGATATCAAATTACTGCACCCATGACAGAAACATTTCATTAGATCAGTGGTTCTTAACCTGGGGTAAAAGTACCTCCCCAACCTTGAGGTGTGGAAGACCAAAAATTTGTATTCAGTGGCGTAGCTAGAAGGGTGCAGACCACACCGGTCGACACCATCACAGGGAGTGACACCAAATTGAAAAATAAAGTAATTACAGAGCACACACTGATCGGTCTAACCGAAATTTATAAAAGGATAACAGACGACACGTTCATTTTGCACCCAAGTAACCAATCAAAATGCATGTTTCGTTAATATTAAAATGTCAAGGTTGATGCCAATGTAATTAGATTACCATATTATTAGGTCAGAAACACACTGTTTTGATCATGTTTCAACGCCGAATGAAGTGTTCGGTAACTTACTTTTGTAAGCGACAAGGAGCTATAAATATCTAAATTCTGAGAAATAGAGCTATCCTTTGACAGCAAGGGACAATTATAAGTACAAGTTAAAGTTCTGAAATACATTCACCTCCTGATTTTCATTAAATTGTTGTTTGTTCTTGTATTTTTATACTGTGAACTAAGTTTAACAAGAAGAAATACATCGTGAAAAAAAAGGGGGGGGGTTGACACCACAAGCTTACCGGACCGGGTGACACCAACCCTAGCTATGTCACTGATTGTATTTGCTGCCATTGCTAGTTGTTGCTGCTTTAATTTTTTTTTTTTAATGCAAGTTTTTATGGATTTTGATTAGCAGCTGTCAGTGCTGAATTTCATTGGCGCATTGCGTGAATTAGTAATTTTTTGCCCTGTTTATAAAAAGTTCATTAAAGAAATAAAATTCCGATAATAAATTTTATTACAGTATAATTTTTACGGCTTAGGGGCAGGGGGGGTGTATAAAAAAGAAAGGGCATTCCGATTCTCCACTACTGGGCATCCCGTAACTTGATCTGAGGCCATTCTTCCGACCTGGCATTCCTATTATGCTATTTCTCTCAGCCTCAGTGATAGTTTTAAAATAAAATAGCTATAATTGTTTTGTTTTTTAAATAATGTCAAAAATGCCTGTAATTTAGTGTTATTAAGTGAAATTCTTTACTACAACATTCCGCTTTTCATGTGACGTCACATGGCTTGAGATCCCCGCCCTCCCCCTCGTCACACATCGGTCACAAAAACCTGAAACCCCCTTTCCCCCCCCCCTAGACGCGTGACATCATTTAATTTATGGATGGCCCCTAAGTACTGTAGACTATAATGACTATAAATTTTAAAAAATAAGCGGGATGATTTATGACTGAGAAAGTAAAGATGTACAATAAACTAAAAGTTAAAATTTTGTTTCAGTCAAAGGACATGACATAAAAGTCAAGAGCTATCAACTATATATCTGTTATATTATAAAATACTACTATAATAATAGTAATAGTGTAATAGTAATAGTGTTATGATTGACCCGATTGCTGACCGTGGATAAATACAAATACAAAGTGGATGGGAATTTATAATTTATAGGGCAGGGATAACAAACAGGCTATTTTAATGGGATTGCGATCGAGTGGTGTTTTTTTTTCAAGCCTAAGTAACATAATAGTAACATATCTTCTTGTGGTTTGTTCCAATTTTTATTTACGGTCCGGTATTACTAATTAAATTGCCTAAATTTAATATTTCAATAACTTAAATAAATAAGTGTTAGTTTAGAAAGTATAAGTATAAGTAAGTACCGGTATCTAATCTAATATTTACGTCTACACGTACTTAACTTTAACGTACTTATTCCTAAAAACTTAAAGTTTATGTTTCTTAGTCACAGTAACTTAATTAATAGTTTAAACAAATAATTCCTATAAGATGTGCCTCCATAAAAAAAAAAATATGTCCGTAATGCCGTAATAATGGTTTAACAGCCTTGTTGTGGTTCAGTGCTATTATTCAATTTTTTTTAAAAATCCCAAGAATTTGTCAAAATATTTCCCAATATTTCCCAAGATCATGAAAATATATAAGAGTGTTTTTTTTGTTTTTTTTAATCTTGGGAAATTTATATTATTATTTTTTTTTTTTTAAAGTGAGATTTTGTCCTGAATGAGGTAGTGAATTCCCAAGATCTTGGGAAATTCCCAAGGTAAGGCAGCCCTGATGTGGTTTTGTCAATTAGTTCATAACGCGGTACATCTAATGCACTAAAAAACATTAACGTTTACCGCAGCGTGAAATTTAGTAACTCCTTATACCCACTGGGATTTTGACCTAATTTTAGCAGTATTTATCGTTTTAGTATTTAAACGAATATAGTTATAAGCATAACTGTAAATTTAATTTATGTTGAAATATAAAAAATAGAGCATTTTTTTATATGAGATTTTTTAAATTTTAAAATGTAACGGACGCTTACAAAACGTGCAGGTTTCATCAATTATTATATTGGAACGCATTCTCGTCAAATGTGCTACTTTGTTAAAAAAAAAAAAAAAAATTAAGTATTGAAAAATTATTCAAATAAAGTTTGCCAAATAACAGACGTTTAAAAAAAAAATTAGCCTATATATTCCCACCTGACACCTACTTTTTTCTTTTTGATTCCGGAATAAAAAACAAACTGTCCCACCCATTTTCACGCATTTTTTAAAAATATGTTTTCTATATAAAAATCTATAAGAAAGGTAAAAATTAAAAAACAAAAAAATTTTTGGAACTAACATTTCAATTATCATGCCAATTAAATGACCTTTTTGGCACTAGGTTAAGAAAAAAGATTGTATTCCTAATTCGTCAATTTAAAATAAATTATGTGGATGTGTTGAAAAACAAAAGTTTTAAAGTTGAAGTATATCTAAGAGGCATTTTTGTAATTTATCTGGGGAAAGGGGGGGGGGTGGGGTGTGGAAGCTATAGGATTTGGAAAGTTCAAATAAACATTGCAACCAACAGAATGTTGGGAAATGTATACTTTTTTTTATACGATTTCCTTTAGATGAAAACACACTTAATAAATATAGAATGCTATTTTGTTAGCAACTCATGACTTCTTTACATATTAAGGCCGTTCATATACGATTTATAAAAAAGACCCGTTTTGATATGCTTCCATATAAAATGTATAGACAGCTCTTCAAGTTTTTAAAGGTTATTTTTTTTTTTATTACAAAAAATCTTTTTGACTCTTGTAAAGCTTTTAAATGGATGGACAAGATAATAGTAATAGGGCTAGTTGTACGTTTGTTTGGGTTTTGTTGTTGTTGTTTTGTTTTTTTTCATTTGCGTTCAACGTGTAAAATGATGTTAGCAGTGTTTTTTGTGATAGAAACTGTTTTTTGTTGTAAATTCATTTATGAACTATGCATTTGACCCTCAAAAGGTTTAAATAAAAAACAAAAGCTACATTACTATTTAGAAATACAAAAAGCAAGACACATCGGCGCACTCGATTTCTGCCCACATAATATCACTAATTTTGGTGACATTGATAGTGGCGTAGCTTGTACTAGTGCCACCATGGGCAGCCAAATAGTATTGCCGCTCTCCCTTTCACAAAACAAACTCTGCAGTTGTCCGAAAATGCCACACCTCCATATAAAGAAAAAGTGGCACCTGGGTGAACAACCTCATCCTCCTAATGTCTACGCAATAAGCAGGTTTGTAACTAGAGTGTTTGGCGTCAGGGGATATGAGTCCTTTTTACGCCACCTCCTCAACTCTGAACTAAATATTTTCAACAACTTAATACCATCAAAGCCCATTTTGGTGCCCCCTCTAATCTGGCGCCCCAGGACCTATGTCCCATCTGCCATCCTTTAGCTACGACTCTAGCCGTTGCCCAATTTCCCTGCCCCCCTTGAAAATCTAAAATGCCCTCGGGATTGGAGGGGGGGGGGGAATATCTGAAAGAGACACTGCCCTCCACCCAAGAAACCGAAGCTCGCAATCTGCAACTCAGCATCGATGCTACAGTCAGGTCAGCATGAGCTAGATGCCATTCCCGGACTTGATCTCTTCTTAGGTCCCTGTCCGGATGGCTTTCCATTATTAGGCTTTTGTCCGGGTTTTTCCCGTGTCCGCCCCCTCCCACCCCGATCGCTACCTCCTTAATTACTTTTCCATGTTACGTACTATTATGTTTTGTGAACTGAAAGCGCGCGACTGCAATATTTAGTTCAATAGTAAGGGTTACTATAGTAACAACCAAAACTAAAGAGCCATTTTTTTATATATTTTTTTTTTTGTAAACATAACGATAATGCGAGTTGATGATAATTGATAAATAATTAATTACTCAAGTTCAATTTTTTTTAAATATTCGATTAAAAATACCGAAAAGTAAATTTGTATTTACAGATGTATTGAAAACACAAGCCCAATACTCAGTTTGTCCAAAGTCGAAACAAAAAAGAATGAGTGTTCTCTGAAAACTTTCATCTACCAAAATTACCACACTTGACACGTTTGTGAAAAGGAAGAAAGTATCTTATAATGATTATTATTTTTTTGAAGTGGCTGCATCCACCACGGTTAAGTACCCAACATAACCACAGACTTCAACCTGGCATACCTCACAGTGGTGTACCTAACCACTTGTGAACTTGTGTGGTCTTGCGATATAGCAGCTGGAATATCTGAACTTGTGTGGTCTTGGTGTAGAGTAAAAGCTAGACGCTATCATGTTTGTTTATTAATTCTCAGACGTTGAAAGATTTTTTCTAAACCTTTTATGTTTGTCTGTTTTTCATCTTAGTTTAAAAAGGACATCTAATAATTAAATTATTTGGTCCATTTTTAACAATAAGATTATTTAATTTGATTTATTTAAAAAATATCTATACATTTTATACACATTTTATATACATTTTATATACATTTTATATACATTTTTTATCAAAAAAAGATTTATTCTGCACATGCATTTACCTTTTTCTTGAACTGTTTTTGCTGTCGAAGGCTTTTTGGTCGAAACGTCCACTTCTGTTATTGTCCTTCTTCAGGTTTTCTCAACCCTAGTGGTTCTAAACCTGTGAGTTGTGACCAATTTAGGGGTCGAACAACCCTTTCTTTGTGGATGTAAAACTGAAGTCAGGTATTAGCCAATATGCATTCCTTGGTTTTTAATTTATTAAAGATGTTCTGGGTAGGGGGGGCATACACTACCCCAGACCCCACCCTTGTTATTTTCTCTTCCCCCACCCCCAGTCAAAGTGACATACTGGCCCATTTGTATCTATACAGAAAAACATGTAGGTGCAAGTAATATAATGATTGTATCTATACAAAGAAACATGAAGGTGTTAGTAATATAATGATTGTATAATGTACAAAGAAAACCTGTAGGTGTTATTAATATAATGATTATATCTATATGAAGAAACATGTAGGTGTTAGTAATATTATTGTAGTTATACAAAAAAACATGTAGATGTTAGGAATACAAATATTGTATCTTTACAAAGAAAAATTTAGGCATGGGCGCCCGCAGGATGGGTCAAGGGGCGGTGGGAGGGGTGGGGGGTCATGTGACCCCCTACCTTTAAAAATAATAAATTAATAATATTGCAAAAATATTCCTTCATTATAAAATTAATATTTATATTTTAAGTATTATATTACTATTTGCATTTGTTCCCTTTGAATTTAAATAAGTTTGTCAAGAAATTTAAAGTATTTCATTATTTAATTATGTAAATTGTTTATTATAAAACAATTAAAATAAATTTATTTACATAGAACATATCCATAATTTTCCACTTTTAAATGGTTAAATACTCTAAATTTTTCATCTTTATCGGGGGAAAAGATTGTGCCTTGCAATCAGTTCAAAATCAATTATTTTCTTGATAAAGATAAAAAATGTGCCATGCAATCTGTTCAATGATAGAGATAAAAAATGTGTCATGCAATCTGTTCAATGATAGAGATAAAAAATGTGCCATGCAATCTGTTCAATGATAAAGATAAAAAATGTGCCATGCAATCTGTTCAATGATAGAGATAAAAAATGTGTCATGCAATCTGTTCAATGATAAAGATAAAAAATGTGCCATGCAATCTGTTCAATGATAAAGATAAAAAATGTGCCATGCAATCTGTTTAATGATAGAAATAAAAAATGTGCCATGCAATCTGTTCAATGATAAAGATAAAAAATGTGCCATGCAATCTGTTCAATGATAGAGATAAAAAATGTGCCATGCAATCTGTTAAATGATAAATATAAAAAATCTGTCATGCAATCTGTTCAATGATAGAGATAAAAAAAGTGCCATGCAATCAGTTCAATGATAAAGATAAAAAATGTGCCATGCATTCAGTTCAATGATAAAGATAAAAAATGTGCCATGCATTCAGTTCAATGATAAAGATAAAAAATGTTCCATGCAATCAGTTCAATGATAGAGATAAAAAATGTGCCATGCAATCTTTTCAATGATAAAGATAAAAAATGTACCATGCAATCTGTTCAATGATAAAAATAAAAAATGTGCCATGCAATCTGTTCAATGATAGAGATAAAAAATGTGCCATGCAATCTGTTCAATGATAAAGATAAAAAATGTACCATGCAATCTGTTCAATAATATAGATAAAAAATGTGCCATGCAATCTGTTCAATGATAAAGATAAAAAATGTACCATGCAATCTGTTCAATGATAAATATAAAAAATGTGCCATGCAATCTGTTCTACAAGACTATTTTAGTATAAGAATTCAGAAAAATATCAGATACTATTGTGAGCCTGACAAGTGAGAGATTTAAATGAATTGTCAAGGGTATGAGAATCACTGATGTTACGTTTGGGGCTTGGGTAGAACATTGATTCCTGGTTAGATTTGGCCTGCCGTATTGTTCTGTTTGTTGCAAAGGCTTCGTTTCGCGCATCTTCTGTATTTCTAGACTCCTTCACACAATGCTGTT